CCCCAAAACCCCAAAACCCCAAAACCCCAAAACCCCACTTAATAGCGAACAAATAGCAACTTTAGATTATCAATTGTATAAAATGGAGAAAGGAAACGATTTTGAAATAGAGACAAAGATCAAACTCATTAATCGCTCAGTATCGGACGATCAGGATTTTATTACCTCTCCACAAATTCAGATATACTTACTAGTGAACCCACGAAGTGGGAGTAGGGAAGGAAGATCTTACACAATTTTAGAAAAGGACTGATACCAATACGAGCTTGATAATGGAGATACATGAGAACTTAACATCATCAACATTTTGCTAAAAGATTCAATGGAAGATTTCAAATAAATCAGTTCTGGAAAAATCTCGCCTCCTAAATTTTGAAGATGAGCCTCAGACTCTTAAAAAGATAATAACTGTGATAGCTGGAGGAGACGGATCATTTATGAACATTCTCAAAGAAATGGAAGATTATGGAGTGATTCTTGACAATGTTATTTTTACTCAATTCCCCTTCGGGACTGCAAATGATCTAGCACGAGCATTTAGCTGGGGAGCTACTCCATCTCAGAGAATGAAAACAGATCTTAGATATCTTTGTAACTTGCTTAACTCTGCTAAAGAAACTGGATTTGATATTTGGGAAATAAATATTCATGCTGATGAAGTTAATGGAGATGTAGAAAGTGTTGATGGAAATGAGCTCATCTCCCATCAAATGCATCATTTCACTAAGCTCATGTGCCATAGCTTTTCATTTGGGCTAGATGCAAGGATAGGCCTTAACTTTGAGAGAAGAAGAACAAGAAGCAGATGATGAAATAACATTAGATATGCTCTTGAGGGAATGAAAAGAGTTTTCTGATGTTGATTTTATCAAAGAACTCTTAGGATTAGAGAAATCTTGACAAAATTCTCTCAAAATCCCCCAGAAGATGACTCTCAAGAGTTCGAGTCAATTCAGAGTGATGACTTGGAAGAGAATGCATCTGATAAAATGATGACAAGGCAAGTAAAGCTAGACAATAAAGAATTTACAATCGGCTCTCATAGAGATGAAGAAAACACTTATTACATTAGAGGGAACCCTGTGTCTCTATATTGAACGAATATTGCTATCTTAATGGGAGGTAGGAACAATATATGGGAAGGAGGCAGAAATAGAAGTGGAATCACAGATAAATCAGGCAGGCCAATTGATCCAAGAGTTTTTAACAATTCAGTGGCATACAATGATGGAAAATTAGAATTTACTACATTCTCTTCAATGTTTCATCTGATTTTCCAAAAATCTAGAAGAGTCATGCAAGCTGGGGGACCTTTCGTTTTTGAATTCGAAGAGTACAAGAAAGATGAAATAGAAGAAAATAAAAATGACTCTGAGCCTCAGAAAACTTACATAAACATCGATGGAGAATTCTATCGTATATCTGATATCAGAAAGCTTACTATATCAAGATACTTCAAAGAAAAGCAGCTCAGGATCCTGGTTAATGAGAACGACTCAGGCTCTAGCTAATATGCTGTTTTATTAATCCCAATTTAATCTGAATACCAAGGGGTTTTGGGGTTTTGGGGTTTTGGGG